AACGAGTCAACGAATGTCAACGATCGTATTGCCTTCGCCAGAGAACCAATGTCTTGACTCATCACCAGAGCGGAATAGACATGTCTTTCCTTGGCAAACGCCTGCAGAGTGAAGGTTCGAGCTTGGATAGCCTTTTCAGGAGGAACTCGGTGCTTTTCGCCCTCGGAAGCAGGGAACGGACACTTCAGCACCCCTTCCCACGTCGCTCAGTCTCGATCTTCTCGGTTTCTCAGATTCTGAAGAACAGCTTCCGCGCCACTCTGGAGGCCCACCGGGCTGAGACCCCACCTGCCGCTTTGAAAGAAGGGGTCGCCGAACGAGCCACGCTGCGCTTGTTGATCGCGACTGCGAGGATCACACTTGTTGGCTTCAAGTTTTTCTGTTTTTGGACGGCATGAATGGCGGTGAGGCATTCGGTCTATACGATTGAGCAGACATGTCTCTGAAATCCACGGTTCTGTCGTTTCGGTAGCTTTTAGGTGACCGTGGAGGTGCTCAAAGGCATCTTTGATGTCACCATAAAAGTCTCTGATCGAGGCAGGTTGGGAGGGACCTTTTCCCAACAGCGTCAGTCTCCGCAAAAAGGTCCTCAAAGAGAGCTCCTGAGTTCAAACAATTTGCGATGTTGGGCCACCGGAATCAATGGCATGGCTAAGCAACGGAGGTATATCTTTTAGTTGTGTTCCACTTGTTTTCGTGATTTCTTTCCACATCCTGCTTTGGCTGTTTTTTCTGCGTCGTATGATTTTTTTTACCTGCTGTTGCTGCTTTGCTTTGTTTTCTTTGCTTTTCGGCTTTTGCTCCCTTTGCTCCTTTTGGCGCTTTTGATAGTTTTTTTTCCTTTTTGTTGCTTTATCTGATATTTTTTTGTTGCTGTTTTTTTGCTATGCCTGCTATGCTTTTGCTTTTCCTGTTTCTGTGCTTTTGCTGATTGATTTGTTGCTTTGGTGGTTGCCTCGGTTTTTACATTCTTTTTACTCGGCTCGTTTCTTTTTTGTTGCTTTGGTTGCTTTGCTGCTCTCGCAGCTTTTTGCTCTTGTTGCTTCTGTTGATTTTTGTTGCTGTTTGGTCCACTGTGCTACGCTTGTTGCTGTTGCACTACTGCGCTACTTGCACACACTCGTGTGGCATAATGTTTCACATATGTATATGTATTTAACACAAACGCATATTAGACAGAGGATCGTCAATGCGCTTTGCGAATATGTATGTCATGGTTGTTTTGGTTTGCGCTATTGGTGGGAAAAGACATTGGAGTACAGCACTGCTTACATGTGGTACTTGCAAGATGCATTAAAGCCAACACTTAGCTGAGAGCGACGAGCCATTCCAAGGTAGCAGACCTCTAGTGAGCCACCCGAGGGTAAATTTTAGAGGAGGAAGGAGTCATTCCAAGGTAGCAGACCTTTTGTGAGCCACCTGAACGTAAAATTTATGGGAGGCACAAACCATTCCAAGGCGCAAGTGACTTAAGTTTTGAATGCGCAAGTGATGTTTTCGACATGGTCGCTTCATAGTCAAGTTGGCACAAGTGAGGTGCGAGCCAAACATCATAAAGCCATGACACAAAGCCGCTCACAGAAACATCCAACCACGCCCAGCACCACGATAACAGCGTTATATTTAAATCTCGACCACACTCCACTGCACCAGCCACTTCCAATCTCCTTTGCCTGGTACGACAGCTGTTTCTTTTGAGTGGTAGCCCTGCTGCCTAAATTGTTTTTTGTTAAAGCTCAGCCGCTCACTCCGCCAGGTTGCTGTAAATAGCAGCGAGTTGTGAGCCCCAAGGATTTGAAAACGGAAGACATTCCCGAATTAAGTGCACCCCTAAGCAACTCCACGGCGTTCAGCAGATTTCGGAAGCGATCGGACATCTGTAGGCGGCGGCATGCGGCCAGAGGAACTACGACAAGCTTGGCGCTTCCCGGCGGATTTGGTTCAGAGATAGGTTTGTGAGAGGTGGCGATTCCAAATTGCCTTGAATGTTTAACTCTCTTGATCCTCTGAAAACCAGTTCTCATTCCATGGAGGAGATGTCCCACCTCGCACAAAACATGGTTCGCAAAAACCGTGACGGAAAAAAGTCAAAGCGAGCTATGATCTCGGAGCGATGCGAAAAGAACCGGTCTGTGCTGCACCGGAGACACTTCGCGATGGGAAAGTGCCGGAAAGCGGATCAACCCGGATCACCAAGCATCAAAACACAGGAGCCCCTAGTAGCATCCTTGCTCCTAGTAGCGATGCCCTTTGCTCCTAGTAGCCGGTCGGTCAGACGAACAGTGGCGCCCCCCGTTCTCCGTGATTTGATTGGTGTTGCATGTTTGGGGCCTTTCTTTTGTGCATAGATCGGTGTGTCTAGCACAAGTCGGACACCGTTTCACGGTGATAGTTACAAGTAGTAAGGCCAGGAGCCCCTAGTAGCGTCCTTCAGGTAGATGAAAGTATCGGCAAGTTAAGAAGTTAAGTTAAGACTGAGTGAAGGAGTTTCCCAGGCCAGGCAGGCAACATTTGGTTCGGGAGCAGCAACAGAGAGACAAAACCCCAAGAAGAACATCCCCAGAACAGGAGCAAGATAGTGACTTGAATATCGGTACAGTGCTTCTCAAGTATAGATAAAAACGTAATGAATTGCAAGTTGTTTTTGTACTTTGGGAGATCTCTAGAAAAGCTTCAGAAATGTACTTTTCGCGGAATAAGTATCGTGCATTCAGGTTACGGCCATTCCTGTGCCACCAAGCCATCTGTGGACGTCCAGCCAAAGGAGCATTTGCCGTTGTCGTAATGGGGCAGACGAAGTGTTGTCGAAACAACCTAAAAGCGATGGCCTCCAACCTAACATCGACATTTGGTAGTCGATTGCTTCCATTAGGGGCATCAACCAATTTCGTTGTTCGTTTGAAAGATCATGGTAGTCTTCATTGCAGGGTCCTGAAAGAAAGACTACAATTTCCGAAGGCAATTTCGTTTTTTCTTACCCAACCATTGGTTTTATCTCTTCCAAAAACACCGACACTGGCGCCAGAGGCTGCATGTGTTCGGTGGTTTTTGTTGACATGTTGTTTCGTTGAACGCATCCAAACGCGAGCTTAGTCTTACATGTCATGTCCATGTTTACGTTGCTACAAAGTGCTGTGAGGGTTAGCCCAAAATGTTCATCTTGGTTGTGTTTTATCACAGTTTCGTTGCGTTTTCCAAATTGGGTTTTGGAGCACTCAGTTTGTCGGAACACTTTTTGGTCACTTCAGCTTCCCGCATGCCCAAGGCAGGTCAACCAACAGGCTATCAGGAAACCTCGGTTTCACAGCCAACATCTTGTGTTTGTCGCGTTGTTTGCCCGAAAAAAAGAGAACCTATCTTTTTGGATTAATGGAACCTCAGGTGACCTGTGAATATATATATATATATTTGTTATACAGTATCTCAGTATCTCTATATATACATTTACATTACTATACTCAATGGATTGGCTAAGGGAAAATCTACAGGAAACCTATGGTTTGAAGTACCCCTGATGTTGCCGTCAAAGAATTTGTGGGAGGAGCAAGGATGCAACAACCGGTTGAAAAGCTCCAGACAACCGGTTGCAGGGTGGCGCCGGATCCCCATGGACGTTTGGGTATAGGATTTGGGATGCTGGCGCCGACAAGCCGATTCACCGTTTTGGGATGTTTCGAAAACCGACACTCCAACCTAGTAACAAGAAGCTATTAGTAACAGGTGCATCGCTAGTAGTAACAAGTGCCTTACTAGTAGGAGCAATGTTTGCTAGTAGAAACAATAAGCTAATAGCTTCTTGCTCCTAGTAGCGATGCCGTTTGCTCCTAGCAGCTTCTTGCTCCTAGTAGTACGGCCAGGAGCCACTAATAACGTAGCTTCTTCAGTTCAACTCGTTGAGTCCTAAATCGGCATTGCAGGACGATTTCCAGCTGCTCTGCGGGCGCGACGCGGCATCCATGCGGCAGCTCGCTGGCTACGGCTTCGGCCTGCCGCTGAGCCGCGTCTACGCCCAGTCACTCGTCCCAGAACTTGGAGAGATGGCCTCCAACCTAGGAGCAAGGACGCTACTAGTAGCAAAAGGAACCTAAGTGCAATGGCCTCCAACCTAGTAGCGATGGCCTCCCAGACAATGGGAGGAAGGAGCAGGTGGATGGTTCGGAATGGTGGTTCGTTGATAAGTGACTTTAGCAACTTGTCGGATTCTTTTTCTTTCTCATTCAGCTCTTTGTCCCAAAGACTTTGAATTATTTGTTCCTAGTAGCGTCCTTGTTCCTAGTAGCGAACCTTGCTCCTACTAGTAAGGCACTTGTTACTAGAAGCGATGCACTTGTTACTAGTAGCTTCTTGTTCCTAGTAGTAAGGCCAGGAGCCCCTAGTAGCGTCCTTGCTCCTTAGCGATGCCCTTTGCTCCTAGTAGCGTCCTTGCTCCTCTGTACACATATTTTTGAATTATTTGGTTTGGTCATATACTTTGCCTGAGTCTATGTCATACATGTCCAAGGTCCTGCTAGTTCAAAACAAACCCACCTTGAGTAGAACCAAATCTGAGCTACTGCGTATAGTCTCTGTAAGAAGAAAGGTCTACCTTCGTCTTTCAAGAAAGTTTGTTGTTCTCTTTCTTTCAAGGTCTTGTTGTCTTGGGGCGTTTGACCCACTCGAAGTACTGGAGTAGAGCTTGCAAATGTGCAGCTGTCCGTCGTGCAGGTACTTTGGCGGGGACATCCATGTGCAGAGCATGCATGGCTTCGGCACGGATGTCTACCTGAATGTGAATCATTTGGGGGATGTCCTTGAAAGTGATGGATCAGAGAGACATGTGCAGCTTGTCGCCAGTTAGGCCAAAAGGGGCGAAGATCTGAGGAAGAGCATAAGAAACGTTGAAGGGAGAGTAGCTTCTTGTTCCGGATAGAAGACGAGATGGATCTGGACACCAATGGCTTGAGATGGGAATTCACCCGAGATCCGATGCGAAATTCCGCAGCTTGCGAAACCGACGCCAGGAGGTGCAGAAAGAGATATCCAAGGAGGCACGTGATGCAAGTGAAATGTGGAAAGGTTTCTATTGACCTCATGTCAATGGACAGGAGACCACAACTATTGGCCAAAGGTCTCTCTCTCACATTCAATCCTTTTGCGAGCTTGTGGTTGAAGCCATTCTTGGACGCATCGGGAAGACACCATAAATGTTTTCTTAATTTTGGCTCAAGACTCCACTCCGCACGCGGCCTTACCGAAGGCCAGGAGGGACATCTCGATAAATGGGGACCATCTCGTTTCACCGACACGGCCGGCAGGTAGCCGCGCGTGGTCTTGCGCCAGAGCGCGCAGAGCAGCTTTTTCCAAAGCGCAGAGGGCGTGTGCCGTCCGTCCAAAGCGCAGCGCTCGAAGTCCCTCGAAACGGGCTTTCCCGAAGCTTCGAGCGGTGCACCTTTGAATCGATGAACCGGGCACACTCTACGCCCAGCATAGCCTCAGATTTGCTCCTCAAATGCATAAGAAGAGGAGGAAGCACGGTTTTAAGAAAGGACAACTCTTGAATGAACCAGAGTGAGATCAGATCATGGTGAAGCAATGTTGCAATTGCATGATGAGTTTCATGCTTCAATTGAAGATTAGATACTATTGACTGTTGATTAGTAAACAAACTAGCTTGGAAATGTGAACGACCATCTTGAAACATATTTGTGTTTAAGACGATGTCAACAGTCAGCAATAAAGTTTGTTCAGCTGGTCTCGCGATTGATTCATCAATTCGATCACTCCAAGGTCCTCCTCCCCCTCTCGTCGTCCACCGTTGGCTTCACCAACAAGGGAGAGACGGGTGGGGCAACCCAGAGCTTCGCATGTTTGGACTTCTAGATTTGAAAGCCATGATACTCGTACCTTAGAGAACATGTCTCTTGACTTTGAGATAGTCTAAATGTTTCAAGATATTCCCTGATTTATTACCTTTCTACTAGGAGCGACGCTACTAGGAGCGAAGGGCATCGCTACTAGGAGCAGATGCAAAACGCAGTGTCCGCGCTTCGCGCAGGTGCCATGTCTGGATGGTTTGTCCTCGCCCTTCACGGAGCTAAGTCTGGCCCGGCAAAATGCCATGCGCTTGCCGCCCTTGGAACGACTTCGGGACCGATCGATGTGACACGCAGATAGACCTGAGCATCTGAGAAAACTTCAGGAATGAGCTGCCTTAAGTACTAGGTTGGAGGCCATTGCTCTGAGGTTGGAGGCCATCGCTAGTAGGTTGGAGGCCGTTTCTAGTATTTCTGATAGAGGCCAACCCCGATACTGATAACCTTCCTGGATTGATAGTAGGAAACCAATAGAGCCGACCCAAAAATACTATTGGCATGCATTGGAACTTTATTAAGTGGCTCTAGCTGCCCCACAAAATGATGCATGCATGAATTCCATCCAAATTGGATTCATTTGTGCACTTTTTTGTGACTCCCGAGCAAACTTTGATGGCAGAGCACCGATTGTGAGACGTTGTCCTTGTAGACTATAGAGCTGAATCTCCAGAGTTTGACCTTTTCTTTTTTGTGAACCACTGCGTTGTCTTGTGTTGTTCGGAACAATCTCCAGCGAGAGAAGATTTTGGGGGGAAACCTCCAGGATGGCCGCTGGAGTGCGCCAGTAAGTCGTGAGGGTGAGGCAAGTTGGATGTTTCGGATGCAGATGTTGATAGGATTGTATTTGCTCCTACTAGCGTCCTTGCTCCTAGTAGTAAGGCCAGGAGCCCCTAGTAGTGTCCTTGCTCCTAGGATTGTATTTACTCACCCCCCAATCTACCTTTTCTTCTACAAACTTAGCAGTTGTGGTTTAGGCAAAGTTCAGTCTTTCTTGCCTCGTGTGTCGCATGTCGTGTCATGAGACGTTTTGGGACCCCAGAGCCGGTGGACGCGGACCGTTTGTATTTTTTTCCCCGGAGGTTCAACTGCGGTTCCACGCGGTTTGTAAGCCTTTCGGCGCTTTGCCTTTGGCGCTTTTGGGATTTTTTATTTACCTATAGTATCCTATAGTAGCTTCTTGCTCCTAGAAGCGATGCACTTGTTCCTAGTAGCTTCTTGCTCCTAGTAGCGATGCCAGGAGCCCCTAGTAGCGTCCTTGTTCCTAGTAGCGATGCCCTTTGTTCCTAGTAGCGTCCTCTTGTTACTAGTCGTAAGGCCAGGAGTTACTCAGCCCAACGAACGCCGCAGGCCATGGGCTCTCTGGATGTGCCGGCGGCTCCCGCCTCAGCGCCGCCCAAGCGTCGGGGGTCTCAGGACCCAAAGGAAGGAAGAAGAGAAAGGCCTGCAACCTATTAGCGTTCTTGCTCCTAGAAGCGATGCCCTTTGCTACTAGTAGCGATGGCCTCCCACCTAAGAGGGATAGCCTCCAACCCAAAAGGAGAAGAAGAGAATCTGAAGAGCGCAGCAGCACAGCGGAAAGGAGAAGATAGCTCCAGCTTTTCGATGCTCACCATCCAGGTAAGAAGCGCCAAGTCTCTACGGGAGGTGCGGCTGGCCACCGCTGGTGGGGACGTTCCCATTTTCCTCAACCTCGACAGACGTGGTCCAAAAAAATCCGGAGCCTTCATGCAGCAGATCGTCTCCGGGGATCCGTTAAAACCGTTATATAAATGAAGAAAAACAACGAAGGGGTCAGAAACCAATGGTTTTGGCCTTCAACCTAGTAGCGTTCTTGTTACTACTAGTAATGCCAGGAGCCCCTAGTAGCGTTATATTCCTGCTCCTAGTAGCAATGCCCTTTGCTCCTAGTAGCTTCCTCTACCGCGCGCGCGAAAAAGCTTCTAGTAGCTTCCTTTGCTTCTAATTCTAATTCAATTCTAATTACGTTTAATTATATTTCTTGTTTCTAATAGCTTCTTGTTACTACTAGTAAGGCACTTGTTACTAGAAGCGATGCACTTGTTTCTAATAGCTTCTTGTTCCTAGTAATGCCAGGAGCTACTAGTAGCGATGCCCTTTGCTCCTGCGGCTGCGGCGCAGGTCTACCTCACCGAACCTCCTAGGATCGGCTGTCGCGAGGCCAACGCCCAAAACCGACTGTCGACCTCCGACCGACGGGCGACCAGGCTCACGTTGCTCCAGCTCCACATCGGTGGGTTCGGACGAGGTACGGAGCTATTGGAGAAGATGTGCAGTTTGCAGAAGGACACCCATTCCAGAGTTCCTCATGGAAAGGTTCAGATAGGTTCAGCTTTCTGCTTGGGTACATCTTACAAAGTTAATGCAAGTTGTATTGGTGCAACTGTTCAGGTCGTGAACATGCATCCACTGGCGATACCCATTGGCAGCTTTGGGTGGGTTCGAGGAAGTTCCATTGGACAAGGGGCACATGCCTGTGCGACTTGGACATCATCTAGATCTCCCCTGGCTTCGCAGTGTGTGATTGACATGTCCACCTTGTAGCGCTGCTACGCGCTGTTCTTTTTGTTTTGATAGTGTTTTAAGCCCGCCCTCACTTAATCAAGTAGGCGTCAACTCAATTAAGTAAGGGAGAGGTAGCTACTAGCTACTAGTACGCTACCACCTAGGACGCAGGGATAGCTCACACTTCTTCAAGGAAGCTCCACCCGGAAGCTTCCTTGAAGAAGCGCTCGTACTGATTGGATTCCTAGATTCTTAGGGAAACTTCACTAATAGCGATGCCCTTGTTACTAGTAGCTTCTAGCTACTAGTAGTAATGCCCTTATAACTAGTAGCAATGCCTAGGGAAACTCAACTTTGGTTCCGCCGAAACCCGCGGCTCCCGAGGTCTTCAAAGCCCTGGAACGCTCGACGGGGCGCATCTTTGCCGTGAAGCAATCGCCTTGGGGTGGGGAGGCGGACGAGAAGTTCAGGCGGAGCTCAGACGTAGACAAGAGTTCAGAAGTGTTCTTGCTCCTACTAGCGATGCCAGGAGCCCCTAGTAGCGTTCTTGCTCCTAGTAGTAAGGCCAGGAGCCCCTAGTAGCATGGATCTGATGAGTCAATGTTAAATGTCAGTCGTTGTTTTTGACTATGATACAACAATATCAATATTACTCAGTTGTGTGTTTCTTTTTTTCCGAGGGTAATACGATAATGCTTAAACTTTTATGTTTTGGAACAGACATACAGATTTCAAAACACCATGCTTGTGTATCCCATCGGCACACATGCGAAACCTGATCCTACCATTCCAGCATGGGTCACAAGAAGTAGAGTGTACTTTAGAGCCTTCCTGCTGTGTGCCAGAAGTTTTGAAGCTGAACATGTTGCTATCAGGAACACTTACTACTGCCGTTGCCCTCTTTTCACATGCAAAGTGCACGATAGACTGTGTCATTAGACTGGCCTTTTGGACTATCAAATTTTGGGATTCCTTCATATCCATATCCTTCCTGAGTGCCGCAGGGAACGCTTGGAAGAGGAACTGCGAATTTGCAAGGAGAGGGCGTAGAGAACGAAATGTCGGAGAAAGACACATTCAAAGAGAATTGCCAACATGAAAGATAGAGAGAGAGACTTTTGCGCGACTGAGAGAGATACGGACAGAAAGAACAAAGCTGGCTCGCTTGAAACGGGGTAATTTGTTGGCTATCGCTTCTAGGCTGGAGGCCATTGCTATTAGGTGGATTTGTGAGGTATCTTCGATGATTTTCTTCCTGGCTCTCTGACATGGCTGAGGACCTGAGGCATCCCAACATTGTGGCCTGCTTGGGGTTTGAATGCAGCAGAGATAGTTTTTACATCTACTTGGAATACGTGTCTTGGAGCTCCATTTCATTCAATTCATGTGCTTTTCAGACGTGTGTGATCTGGAAGATTTGGAAGAACAGAGTGAGATGGAGAGTAGTCCCAAGTGACTGAAGTGCATGTGTTCTACCAAGAGCAAGTTGGGTCGTGATTTTCTCGTGCTGAGGTACCAGGCGGTTCCATGAGCACTTTATTAAAAGAGTTCGGTCCCTTAGTCCCTTGGCACTCTTAGGTTGGAAGCCATTGCTACTAGTAACAAGGGCATCGCTACTAGGAGCAAGGACGCTACTAGGAGCTCCTGGCCTT